TCGGCCTGGTCGGTCACTTGCGAATCCATCGCACAGAGACTGGCGAACCAGTGCCTGGAGCACCAACCTATACCCACTAAGCTCGACTCAACTGCCCACATTGCCCTCGCACCTTCATGCATCGCATGGGCCTATTCGGCCACATGCGCATCCACGACGACCTGCGGTAGACAACCGCCGGCCACACCACACATCCACTCACTCCCTACCTTCCTCCTCCGCCACCACCGCCTTCACCCCACCACACATCAACACTCACCCACCGCAAGCACCCAACTGTCACCTACCACGCAAGTGGGAAGTGTGCATCTCGACTCGGTCCTCATGCGACTTCGGCTGCAGGGGTGACTGGAGTCCGAAACTATCCCGACACATCAAGCGTCGTGGATAGGAAGGTTGCTGATTGACGCCCGCTCTCGGTTTACGCAGTTCGTCGCGTTGTGTGTGTGTTGTGTGGAGTGGCGGACTGGTGGGCTGGGGACGGGCTGAAACAGCACCTTCCACGGCACCTTCACGCAAGTGAGGGACACGCCGTTCAACCCCCGTTGTGTGAAATCCTGGTGTTTGTGTGTGTATGTGGGGCCAGTTCGTGCTGTGGCGCGCGCAGTCATGGTCAGTCGACCATGACAGCCACCGCGCCCATTCCCCACTCCAGTCTGCTGACCAGCTCGGACAGTGGCTGGGGTGTGGGGAAGGGAGGGGAGAGTTAGGTCGACGACTCAGCGCATTTTCCTCACTATAAACAATCTGACGCGCTTGAAGCTATCACGGTGCGCTAAAAGCCGTGGCTTGGAAGGTTTCCAACTGACGGGGTAACTTGGACCTCCTTCTTTACTGGAGGCGGTCTGCGAGTCAGGCTGCAATGGCTCCTTTTTAATGTGGCCTTTATGGCACTACCATCACAGTGTGGGATCCGAGCCAGGCGTTGGCGGCACCCCTAGGTGCGGCTTCGGCCATGCCAGCCTCCAAATCTCTGTTGTGTTGGTTGAAATCCTGGTTATTTGTTGTGTAGACAAGGGAGTGTGGCGGAATGCCAAGGTGAGGATCCGTCCGAGCCATCCACCTGCGGCCTCCCTCGTCTCGGGTCTTCTTGACTCTGTCTTGACACCGGGCTCAGGCGAGGGAGGAGGAGAGAGTGCAGGTAGATGCAGCGCAAGTCTACTGGCACTATAAACCCCTGCGCAAGTCACCGTCCCTGCTCCGACCTCTGCTGTGGGGCACACGGTGGACATCATCGAAATCGATGGTCGAACTGTCGTAGTGTCTGCAGCAGTCTGCAAATGGTTTTTAAGACAAAACCCACATGACACGATCCACAGTCTACCGACAACTAAGAGGGTCCTTTAAGCTACCGTTGCCTAGGGTGTAACCGCAAATGTCAGTAAAAAGTCGTGTCTGAGTTAGGAGAACGCTTTAACGTACATTTATCGGCTGACTGGAACTTACTCTATCTCTGCGATGCGCCATAAACGCTCCTCCTCCTCCTCCTCCTCCTCCTCCCCCTCCTCCCCCTCCTCCTCCTCCTCGTTGTCATCGTTTGCAAGCGTTCCTCGCAAGTATACCTACTGGGTGCTACAGTGACCTGAGAAGTCGACACTGTGTCGCGGCCTACCGTTCATCCACACAAC